ATGAAAATTATGTAAGAAAGGTGAATTCCAATATTTATTAAGGACACAAAAGTGGTAAACGGCCCATAAGATAATTGATAATGGTGTATTGAGGTGTCAGATATATTACTCTTACACGCATCGATCTACCTAATCTGGAATGATAAAGATATGTCACGAAACGCGTTCCATGGCATTTGCATGACATTGAGGCTGAACGTACGCATCCATCTTCCCGAGGCAAGGGAGTTAACTGACTTTAAAAGTAGAGTTTCCACCCTAGCCGAACAAGGCTGGAATTCCGGGGCTCGATCGTAGCGCCACCAGTGGCTATTACGAGTTATGTCCCTTCTATGCCATTCCTATGGATTCCATCTCTCGTATCATTTACATTTGCTTCAAACAAAATTGCGACGCTCAGTCAAGATGATCTGATCGATAATGAAGATTTATATTGTGATAAAACGGGTCTTACATCGCGAAGTGCATCAAATCACGTGAGCAACTTGATTAAAAACATGAAAATATTTGGAAAATATCTATTGACAACAAGTTGGCGGTGCACATTCTTTGCAAATCCTGCAATCGGCCGAACTCTGCATGACAGTTTACGAACCGGATTTCGATTGGACTATGCATAGACTGGTTAGTCCAGCCAAAATGTAACTCCATAATACCAGCCTAGGTCCGGCAAGGGTGGAAACTGGACTGTCATAGTCAGTCTCTCTTGCCTCGGGGAGATGGTATGCATCACGATAGCCCAAGTGTATTTTGAAGTATGTTTCTGTGTTTGGTTGTGTGTTATTGCATAACTGTGTTGTCTCATACACCAAATTTATATTTCCTTACACATACTTTTAACTATGGACCTAAAGTGCGATAAAAATCCATGTACAGAATCAGCTTATAGGGTTATAAAAAGGGATTATTGCAACATAAAGGACTGCCCATGATACAAGACAAATACTGGCAACAACTCATTGTAGGTATTGCTCACGCCAGGTGGCATCAACAGTCAAGGAAGGACCATTTCCATAATCATAAGAAATCTCTACTAAAAGCAGGGTCTATGGGAGGAATCCGACTATATCATAGTATGTAGAGGGCATTTCGAAATTGGATTCGTAAGTGACAAAACTGTTGTCCTATGCAATTCCCTATTTTGACTTACACCAGATGATTCCGTTTTTTGACTGGTGAACAATTGACTCGCTTTTTTGCAAACAGTTTGATGGTAGTGATTCATAAACACATCTTCTGATATAGCCAGAATCGTACAGTCGACTCTGCTTTTAGAAGAGATTTCTTGTGAATATGTAAATTGTTTTGTCGCATTTGTTTATGAATCACTATCAGATAGTGATGATGCAAGCGTATCCTGCCCCACCGGTGACTAGTCACATAGACAACCATCTTTACAAAAGCCATAGCTGAACTGGCTTTTAATTGTATCATGATATTATATTGAGAAAAAGGAGAAAAGTCACATGTTCTCAATATCAGTATCATGGGTAACTATTTATATGAACATTGCAGTTTGAGAGGAGATGTTTAACAGCTCAGGACATAATTGTAAGAATTTAAGTGCATATAACTGCAAAGATAAATTGACGATCAATTATTTGGAAAATATTCGTTCTGTAACCCGATATCTGGCAAGTTCTGTTCAAATGGGAGACTTGTTTTCTCTGACTCACACACAGTGAGAGCACATTGACGTGGAATGGCATTGGAATATTCTATTTTAAAAATGGCTGTTGCTGAACGTTTTAAGGGCAAAGTTCACAACATTTACCATTGAATTGCGACTGTGATCTCCAGCTACGATCTACAGCTAAACACCTACACGTCCTGACCGGCCACGAATCATAATCAGGGCCAATATGATATTAGAATCCACGGTGAAAATCTGTTATAGATTTAACAATAGTGTCAAAGGCGCTTACTTAACTGATGATACCTCAAGTACTTTGATATGCAGGCTTTATAACCTCACATACACATTCTGAAAATTCGATCACAGAAAGGTTTGTTTTGTTTGTTGTTTAGCGCCGCACTCGTGAACAGTGAGCATTGACCTACGCAACTGACATACGATGACATGCATCTAACAAGCCTGCGAACCTGACCACCCGATCCCGTTAGTCGCCTCTTACGACAAGCATGTCTTGCTAAAGACCTAATCTACCCCGGATCTTCATGGGGGCACAGCAAAGTAATCGCTATACCTTTGTCCTCAATGTGAACTTCCGTCGAATCTAACACGTTATATTTGGGAATAATCTTCGAATCTTTGCAAACTAAACACAACTACGAGGGCTGACTGATAAGTTTCAAGCCTAGCATAGACGGAATTGCGTTAAAGTGAGAGCACATTGACGTTGAATGGCGTTGGAATATTCTATTTTAAAAATGGCTGTTGCTGAACGTTTTAAGGGCAAAGTTCACAACATTTACCATTGAATTGCGACTGTGATCTCCAGCTACGATCTACAGCTATACATTACATGATGTCCTAGAGGTGTGTCCACACAAAAAAAGATTCAATTGAGCAAATCGTTTTGTTGTTTCAGTAGAAAATGCGGAGGTCCGTGACCCCTGGCAAATAGACAAACCAGAAGTACTCTCTCGAGTTATCTGGTATACCAACATGTCCTCGGACTATGTGAAACTATGTGAAACTGGTGATGAATCAGCGGATTGTTTGACTGACCGTGCTTTGACTGTAGCCAAGAGAGTGATTCTGAAGAGATCGCTGTTTTTACGTATGATTTTCTGTTCAATATACCAGTATATCAATTGGAAGAAGAAACGTTTTCGCCTTTTCGCTGACTTTAGTTGAATTATCAGATAATCTTTCTGTAACAGTGTGTAGGGTGATATTCGCAGCAGCACCGTCCTTTGATCGACCTGTATATACAGCCCTGTTTTTGGAGATGTTCTAGATCGCTGGTGTCACCTGCCCTTATACTTGATAAATGAAGTAACCCTGTTTGGTTTTCGAGCACCTTTGACTTCACTTTGATTTACTTTAATGTGAGGTACTAAACAATGGAAGTACAGTAGAACATGGATATAACGAACCACAAGGGACCGGAAAAATCAGTTCGTTATATACTTTTTTCGGGACAAAACAAGACATAATACACATAATTGAAGCATTGACTTGTATTATTTGTTTGTTTGTTTGTTTGGTGTTTAAATCAGCAATATTCCAGCTGTATGACGGCAGTCTGTAAATAATCCAGTCTGGACCAGACAATCCAGTGATTGATATCATAGCAGTGATCACTTCATAGCATTCAATTGATAACATTTCATAACATTCATTTAATAACATTAAATTCATAACATTTTTAGAACATTATTTATCAAATACATGTAGATATTTAGCATTTCACGATTTACATACGGTGAGATGTGTAGTCGGTGATTTTGCTCTAGCCTCGTTTTACTGACTGATTTCGTGAAACTGCCTCTTTGAAATCAGCCAAAGTATCGAATGATGTCATCTCTGTTGACTTCCACGTGTTGAGGAAAATCTTCAGTGTTTCAAGAGCCTTATTGGCATCGCCGTCACGCTTTTCTACAATCGACTGGGCAATGTCGTCATCACTCGGCCGTTCTGCAACATGTCTTTGTCTGCATCTATATACTCTTGGAGAGACACTTCAGTTCGAATGTCACCATCTTCAATTCTGTCCAAATATCCCACAAGTCTAATAAAGGAATGTCGTCAGATTCGTCACTTGGATTCAGCCACACCATCGGTCAACACGAAGCCACCTTTTCAGAAACATGTCTTGATTGATGTTGCAGTGACTTACCGCCGCGCTTGGTGAACTATCTCGATTGCATTCAGTATGCTTATCACGTGGTCTTGTTTCTTGTCAAAACTAGATAACCGCTTGTAATGTTGTTGGAGATTGGCTTTAACCCCCTGGACCATCGGATGGATCTTAGATGTAGTGTGAAGTGGCAGAAACACAAGTTTAATGTTCGTGAGAATAGAAAGAGTTGGGTGTGCAGGGTATTTGTCTACAAACAAAACAATCTCACGCTTTTGTTTGGCCATACTCTTATCGAGATCTCGAATCCAGTCAGTGAATATTTCACCCATCATCCAAAGCTCGGTAGGTGACTGGCATGCTTCTCACATTCTTAAAACAACAAGGTTTCTGGGATTTTTCAATCACAAGCAATTTCAGTTTTTCTGTGCCCATCATATTGGCTGTTACTTATGCCCCCGTCACACTTATTCCGAATCAGCAGCAATCAAGCAGAACCAGCCGGAATAAAGAATTTTCAAAATTCGTGCTACCTTCGGGAGGGAATTTCAATTTGACCAAGCTTTGTAAGAATGCCGTTCGAATACTTAGAATGCGTTTCGAATCAGCCTTGAATGATTCTTGCACAGTCCGGGTGTATCAGCTCTCAAATGCAGCTCGAATGTAGTTGGAACACAGTAGGAATATTTAGAATGCTGTTAGAATGCAGTCAGAATATTTAGCATGCACTTCGAATGTCATTCGAGTGCAGTTCAATTGCTGCCCGAATACCGCACGAATTCTGGTTGGAAGCTGCCTCGAATGCTGTACGAATTCACCTCGAATGCTGTACGAATTCACCTCGAATGCAGTCAGAACGCTCCTGGAATGGCCGTCGAATATGGTTCGAACGTCCAAGAATTCAAACAGAATGCAGCTCGAATACTTAGAATATACTTCGAATGTACTTAGAATGTAACACGAATGTCCCGAGTGTATCAAGAATGCCGCCAGAATAGTCCCCGATAGGGTATAAACTGTTGTTGAATCTAGCATTTTCATCAGTCTCTGCCCAACCATCATAGAGTATGGACCCCCTGGACCATGTTGCTTTGCTCCATGTTGCTTTGCTCCAGCAAGACTTGCTTGAAAGATATGTGGATGAGGCCAGGGGAAGTAACAGGAGGAGAAGACCCAGAAGACCCATGGCTGGCAGAGTAGAGGTGGAGGCTGTATGGACATTACGCCAGACTGATGGAGGAGCTCAGAGTAGAAGACCCACAGTCCTTCGTCAACTACCCCAGGGTGGAGCCTGCCATGTTTGATGAGTTGATCCAGAGAGTGGGGCCAAGGGTAGAGAAGCGGGATACCAAGATGAGGAAGGCGCTACCTCCAGGCTTGAAGCTGGCCATTACTGTGAGGTTCTTGGATTCAGGTGACAAGTAACCCAGCCTAATGTAAAGCTTCCGTGTGACAGGGAACACCATCGGCCTCATCATCCCTGCAAAGCCATTGTGGAGGAATACAAGGATGATCACCTGCCCCACGACTCCTGAAGAATGGACACCTACTGGTGTGGTCTTCAGAAACAGGTGGAAAGTTCCTTATGCTGTGGCAAGCATGTGGCCATCAGGAAACCTAAAGAGCGGCTCCTCGTACCACAACTACAAGGGCTTCTTCTCTGTGGTCCTCGTGCCCCCTTGTGGATGGAGACTACAAGTTCCTGTGGGTGGACATCAGAGCATATGGAAGTATGTCTGATGCTCAGATCTTCAATGAGTCTGAACTCAAGGACTGCCTTGAAGACGGGAGCATAGGATTGCCTGAGCCACCCCTCATACCCCAAGATGACGAGCCTATGACATACTTTATCCTGGGAGATGATGCCTATGGAATAAGGCCCTTCTTGATGTAGTTGGGGTGCTTCTTGTTGAGGAGGAAATCTTGCTCGGGAGCCTGGAGCCAGTCAACAATCTCCTGCTCTTGCTCTTCGGTGAAGTCAGCAGTCACCAGCTCCCTCTTGCGCTTCTTCTGGGACTTGGGAGGAAGCTCATCATCACTGGTAGAGAAGGAATGTGCTGCTGGCTGATGGACCTTGCTCACTATATCCATCTTGGAGGCAGGGCCAGGGGCTGTGGACTCAGCTTCAGACTCTGGAGGCGCTGGAGCATCTTCAACAACAGAAGCTAGCCCTTCATGGGCTTCTTTGGCTGCAGCACCTCTGCTCCATCCATGGCCGCGGCCAGTGGTGGAGTTCTTGACCTTGGCTCCCTTCTTCCTTGGCGGTATGACGTGATGTTGACCAGGCGACAGACTGACAGTCCAGTGGCAGCTGGTCGCGTTTTTGTGCGATTCGGTGGTGTACTGAATTACGTCCGGACTCATTCGAGGGCCAGTCAGGACGTTCCGACTGCATTCGATCCGCATTCGAGCAGCAATCGAAAGATTATTTAGAATATTTAGAATGCAGTCAGAGTGCAGTTAGAATACACTTCCCCACTCTGGCAGGGTCCAGACCTCAGACAGTCGTGCGTGGTATGTGTGTAAGTAGGTCGTAGCGAGGATCATTTGTAAACTATGTTTGCTTTTTTCAGTAAAATTCCTATTTCTGCAGACATTTTGCAAGTCTCATGCATATAGTGGTTAGGGGCAGACCATGTGATATTCTTGGGGGAGGAGAATAATTATTTGGGGCATTGTCTAAGACAATTCATTTTTTCGATAACTTCCAAATGGTCAGTCCCACATATAAATATATCGTTTGAATGTGTATGTATGATAATGATGACAATGTTATATCAGTGGAGGTCACTCTGACCTATTTTCAATGAGCAGCGTATGATGTTCCTCCTTGTTAGATTGAATTCCTACACGAGATATTATACAGTGAATTCTTGCTGGTGGAAACCTTCAAGTAGAAACCTTCGTATAAGTACCTGCCTTGGGTCCGAGCATGCTCACTCAAAAATTATCGTTATTTTATATGGATAAGTACAACCCTACAAGTAGAAAAAAACTGTTATCAAGATTTCTTTAGACCTCAGAGACATGTTACAAAGTAATTTGACTTGATGAGTAGAATAACAGTCAGTGTGGTTCTAAACGTATTAATGAGTAAGCCGTCACCAATTAATTGAGTAATTAACCGACACTAAGAAGTGCTAATCCCCACCCAACCCTAATTGCCCTGTTAATCTCTCATCCAAAATGTGTTGACACTGAGTTTGTCTCGCTAATGAGCGGTTGCTAGCTTAAGGTGTGTCCTGGAGAAGATGTGAGTGAGTGAGTTGGGTTTTAACGCTGCTTTTAACAGTATTCCAGTTATATTGCGATATCAGCTTTATGTGGGAGGAAAGCCTGAAGTGATGCAGATCTCAGACGTTTACCACTTCGTTGAAACCCATGAGCACGGGTATGGTGCTGACAAACCTAGAAACATAATCGAGGCAAACCGGGATTCGAACCCACAAACATAGGTTTCTGGCGAGCCCAAGGGATGCAACTCTGCACAGCGAATCCCGGTGCCTTAGACGACTGGGCCACCCGTGCCCCTCCTGGAGAAGAGACAACAGAAACATATATCTTTAGGATTTATTTAGGATTAGCTATAAATTGTGTGTGGAAATTGTATTATTAAAGTTAAACATGAAACAGAAATGGTAAATCTCATGATTATTTTAGTTTTGTGTCTCAGATTAATATACGTGTATGTAACAGTGCATGAAGAACAAGAGGTAGATGATTCAATAATGACACGCAAGTTGTAGTTGGTTAGCTAGAAAACCTGTATCAGGGTTTCACTGTAGTTAGTTCATACATCACGTCTTCATGTGGCTTTTCATGACATGTGCCAAATGATTCCCCAGGAAGACATCCATGGAAAATTATAAACTCAACAATCATTGTGTCGTAGTCATTAGAAAAATCACCACCGCCACCCAAAAGGTCCTTTCACGGGCTGCTAACAAATGGCAACAAATAACATTGGTCCTTCAAACCATTGACCTAGATCATGAAATGTATCTATGATTTGAAAACATGTAAAAAACACTGGTTTATGTATCACAAAGTTTTATGAACATGCGCGTACACATTTACAAACATTTATCGTATCTGTAATAACTCCCTGCACTGACAGGCCATCATGCTGTTAAACAATATATCAAGCAATCTCAAACAACTAATAGTTGGCAGGAATCAGTATCATCAATGGAGGCATATAGTTTACAGACACTGTGCAAATGTGTAAACAACAATAACTTGAACAAAACACAAACTGTAACAATAATACTATTCACATAGTTTAGAGCTCATGATAATAGCAGACCTGGATTGAGGATCGGGGGGTTACAACGTGTGACCTTAGGGACCACACATCATCCTACCTGATGACCTCAATCAGTGCTCATGCCATCAGCCTCTGGGTACAGCTGGCCTTGACCTGTCGACAGACTGCAGTGATATGGTTGGAATATGGCTGAATAGGGGTACAACAGCATTCATTCACTTGTGAACAGAAAGTACATATCAGGTTTCAAAAAGAAAGGATGGGAACCCACCTCTCTCTCTCCTAGAATGCCAGTGACTTCAAGAAAGATCACACAATCCATAAAACATATCAAAACAACAATATCTAAAAGGTAATGAGTGGGTGTTATTCTACTGCCCAGTCATCAATGTCTGTGTCACAGCGGCTTGTAAATAGCCAGGTCAATGGTACATTGACTTACAGAGAGCCAGGTGATACATGAAGGTCACCAAAGCAATACCCAGAAGCAATTTCATACATTCACAACCTTTCTCAACTTCAACATATTGAAGAGAAGGAAACAGATTACCCCAGGTACAGAAGTTGAAGATGTAGCACACTCTACATGCAAATTCCCGATGTTATTTGTAGTATCAGTATGTAGTGCCCTGTTTGTGGACACTAATCAGGGTCAAATGATACCTCAGTGCATCCTTGGAGGACAGAAATATCCACAGTAATTACTCCTGCTACAGTACAACATGGTTATAACAGGTATAACATACAATCAGCCAAATCAAACAGCTATAACATTCAATCAGCAATAACAAACAGGTATAACATACATTTAGTTATAACAAACAGGTATAACATACAATCAGCAATAACAAACAGGTATAACATACAATCAGCAATAACAAACAGGTATAACATACAATCAGCCAAATCAAACAGCTATAACATTCAATCAGCAATAACAAACAGGTATAACATACATTTAGTTATAACAAACAGGTATAACATACAATCAGCAATAACAAACAGGTATAACATACAATCAGCAATAACAAACAGGTATAACATACAATCAGCAATAACAAACAGGTATAACATACAATCAGCAATAACAAACAGGTATAACATACATTTAGTTATAACAAACACGTATAACATACAATCAGCAATAACAAACAGGTATAACATACAATCAGCAATAACAAACAGGTATAACATACATTTAGTTATAACAAACACGTATAACATACAATCAGCAATAACAAACAGGTATAACATACAATCAGCAATAACAAACAGGTATAACATACAATCAGCAATAACAAACAGGTATAACATACAATCAGCAATAACAAACAGGTATAACATACAATCAGCAATAACAAACAGGTATAACATACATTTAGTTATAACAAACAGGTATAAGATACAATCAGCAATAACAAACACAGATATAACATACAATCAGCTAACAGACATAATATAACATACAAAAAGATATAACTTACAATTGACTCTAACAGACATAGTATAACATACAAACAGATATTACCTTCAACTGGCTCTACCAAACAGACATAGCATAAAAACAGATATAACATACAAATGGCTCTAACAGACATAGCATACAAACAGATATAACATACAAATGGCTCTAACAGACATAGCATACAAACAGATATAAAATACAAATGGCTCTAACAGATACAACATAAAATCGGCTCTAACAAACAGACATAACATACAATTGGCGCAAACAAACACAGACATAACATATAAACAGATATATCATACAATCAGCAATAACAGATATAACATACAATCAGCTCTAACAGATATAACATGCAATCAGCTAAACAGACATAACATGCAATCAGCTAAACAAACATACATAACATACAATCGGCTCTAACAAACAGATATAACACACAATCAGCTCTAACAAACAGATATAACACACAATCAGCTCTAACAAACAGATATAACACACAATCGTCTCTCACAAACAGATATAACACACAATCGTCTCTCACAAACAGATATAACACACAATCGTCTCTCACAAACAGATATAACACACAATCAGCTCTAACAAACAGATATAACACACAATCAGCTCTAACAAACAGATATAACACACAATCATCTCTTACAAACAGATATAACACACAATCATCTCTCACAAACAGATATAACACACAATCATCTCTAACAAACAGATATAACACACAATCAGCTCTAACAAACAGATATAACACACAATCATCTCTCACAAACAGATATAACACACAATCATCTCTCACAAACAGATATAACACACAATCATCTCTCACAAACAGATATAACACACAATCGGCTCTAACAAACAGATATAACACACAATCGGCTCTAACAAACTATTTCAGAAGTTCCCATTGCTTGACTAAATAGTGTGATATACAAGACTTGTGAGTAATACATTTTGTATAACGAATTACCAGCAATAGCAAACAGAAGT